AATAGTGGAGTTAGAAAATGAGTATTTTCTGACTCATTGCAAACATAGTTCAATGTCTGTGACTTTGCATTGAAGACATTTTGTCATGAGCCCTTTCAAAGTTCCAAACACAACCTGCCCCAGAACCGCTCATCAATGACTGCTCTGTTAGAGATGTCTCCATCCCTAGGAAAAATTTCATCATTCTTTAAAAAACGAAGCATGCAATGCTCTGGTGGCTTCTGAGCAGAAAAGTGCTATTGAAATGCTTGGATTTCCTAGTGAACAGCTGTTACAATGTCGTTCTCCAACTTTCCCTGATCATGAATGGCCCTGGCAGGTTGGGATGTGGGATGAAGCCCAGTTCCTCACCAATATGAATGCGCAGTTGAAGTTCAGGCACTGTCCACAGCCTTTGGCCACCACGATCCACACACCAGAACCAGCCTGCTTTAGGGCAGCCAAGATGAAGAGGACAATGTTCACACAGGCATAGCTGCCTAGCAGAATAAGTTTGTTCTTGTTGTTGTGCCAATACACAGGACTCAAGATAGGTGGGGTGTGGCTCTTCCGGGGAGCTGTGGGTGGCTTTAGCCAAGTTGCAGCACTGAAAGAGAGAGAGGAGCCGGTGAAGGTATTCAGGGCTCTTCAGCATCCTGAGGGATGCAGGAAGACTCAACACAAATAAGCCAAAAGGCCACTCTTCTCCTGAGTGCAGGGCAGGTAGCCATTCCTGAAGTCCTACTAATTAAGACAGTTTAATTTACTAATTAAATTTAATAAAAGTCCATGTTTTACTGGCACACATAATCTGGTTGATTAATGTTCTTAGGGGCTGTAATATATATAGTGAAGTTACCATGTTGTATGAATGCTGCCAACATGATTAACCCAGAAAATGAACTGAATTACATAACAAAGTGAGAAGCTACCTTTGGACTTCCAGGTAGGTATAAAGAGGGATGATTCATTTATTTGGATATCTTAATGGATGTTTCTAACTTTCCTGGCTTAGATTATAAGTTATAATGTCTAGAAGAGGATCCACATTAGAAAAACTTGTACATTTCTTTTTTAAATATTATTAAAAGCTCTTAATTAGGAGCAGCTCTGAACAAATAAAAATACACCTGGGCAATGTAACCATGTTTTTCTAAGGTGACAGAGTTGTGCCACTATATTTATATCCAAGCTGAGGGATTTTAAAAGTTTGAATAAAATCAAAGTATTAAATTCTGCTTTTTCTTCTCCCTTTTCTTTTAAGGAGTGTTTGCTCTGAAATGCCCTCCAGCCTAGAAACTGGAAAAATGTATACGACTAATGAAAAATATTGGCTCACGCCTCAAATAGCTGGGATGACCATTCTACTTTAAAAAGCTATCATAAGTGTAGAGCCATCTTGGGAGCAAATTTTTTAATATCATAATACAATCAATAACAAACCCAGAAATAATTTAAAAATTATTAAAATGTCCTTCACTAGAAATGACTGCTGTTGATTCTACTGAAAATACCTTATTGTTAAGTTCTCCATGATTTCTGGAAAACGCTGCAGTTCCCCTCTGAGCTCCTCAAAGGTTATGGATCCACTATTATCAGAGTCTGCTGACTCAAAAAGAGCCATGGTCAGATCATCTAGCTTCTTTTCAGGAAAAGATATTGAGCTCTCTTTCAGACATGATTTTAAGACCATGCGTAATTCATCGGGTTCAATGGAGCCACCACCTAGAAAGAAAACAAATCCATATGGCTTGGTTTAAGTTTCCATGACAGGTCAGATTTAAGATGTTGCTATGAGAGACGAGGAGGGGGGAGGAGGAGGAGGAGGAGGAGCAGGAGGTCATCAACTGATAGAGAGTGTGCAGCAGGAAATCAAAGCCAGTTGACTCGGCTTCCTTGCTGGATCATGAGAAGTCTGCATCTATACAGCCCATACATTTCCATGGAGGACTGAAAGCCTTCTATGAGGCATAATTGTTGGCAGCCATACAAGGACCTGAAGAACAAAATCTCATTTTGATAAAACACAGATTATCGGATTCATCAGTTTGGAATTTTACCGTCCACATCATAGACCTGAAAGAGGAATCGGAGCTTGTCGGTTTCACTCCCATGGATCAGCAGTTTTAAGGTTTTCAGGAGCTCATCCAGGCTGATGGTTCCACTTTCATCAGAATCAAACAAAGCAAAGAATCGCTCAGCGAAAAATGACTGTGAGAGAGGAAGGAAATGTTTGTGAAGTTAGAGGTGAGACTCAGGCTCCAGAAGTCCCCATTGCCTTGAGGCCTTGATTTAGAAATAAGTGATCAAATCTCTGAAATATATAAACGACATGATTATGTTCACTACTCACCATGATAAATACAACTGTATAAACCTGCCTAGGGTGGAGAGGTTTTGAGGCTTGTTTGTGGAGAGTCTCAGTCATCCAGGTCATAGTTGTCTCAAAGCTGCTTTTTTCTTCAAAGGGCAACTGGACTGTTTTTTTCCTTGAGGAAGGAGAAGCTTCATCCAAGAACCTTCATCAGTTCTGATGGTGGAGGAATGGAAGGATAGGTACCGACAGTTGAGACTGGGGATGGAAGAATGGATTCCTCCCAACTTGCTTGTTTTCTTGCAGATGTTTCATTACCCAAACTAGGTAACGTCATCCGTGCTAGAAAGGTTTGTTGTTTGCTGTCAGTTTTGTATTCTAGTGGCTTCCCTATCCAGGGCGGGGCGGTCTTAAAGATTTTTTGATTGGGCTATTTGCTGTTGGCTTCTTTGGCAGTTTCTTGATTGGGGCATTGTTTACTTGATTCTTGGTCTGATGTTAACCTTGGAGTTAATCTATGCTGATCTGGGTGCTGACTGCTGGGGGAGAGGTGCTTGGGTCTTTTTGTTCCTTTTGGGGCTGGGTGACAGTCTCTTTTGTATAATCTGTAGATGTTGTTAATGTCTATGTGTCTATTGATGGCTGATTTGTCAGAATGCCAGGCTTCTAGAAATTCCCTGGCGTTTTTGGACTTGGCTTGGTCTAGGATGGTCACACTTCCCCAATTGAATCTATGGTTAAATCTGTCTATGTGTTGTGAAATTAAAGAATTTTCATCATGTCCTCTGATTGCTAGTTGATGTTCATGGATGTGTTCTGCCAGTCTTCTGCCTTTGTCCTATGCAGTGGTTGCTGCAGTCCTTACACTGTATGTTGTAGATGACTCCTGTTTTCTCTTCTGGGGTTGTTGGGTTTTTTGGTCTGCTTAGGATGTTTTGAAGGGCTTTAGTCGGCTTGTGTGCTACGCTGATTCCATGTGGTTGTAGGAGTCTGTTGGTGGTTGCTGAGATATTCTTGATGTATGGCAGTGTAATTTTTATTAGGCTTTGGGTTGGTTGTGCTATAAAAAAGAATTACACTGCCATATATCAAGAATATCTTGGAAACAGACTCCTGCAACTACATGGAATCAGCATAGCACACAAGCCAGCTAAAACATTGCAGTAATGGTGGTTTCTGAAATAATCTTGATATAAAAAGTATTACACTGCCATAAATCAAGAAAATCTCAGAACAGATGGATTCTAACATATTCTAACATAGATGGATTCCTTCCATTCCCCTGGCCCTACCACCATCTGGTCAGAACCTATCATTCAATCCCCGCTCCCCCCGCCATCAGAACTGATGAAGCTTCTTGGATGAGAAGCAAAATATTTTCTTCTTCTTCCTCAAGGAAAAAAACAATCCAGTTGCCTTTTGGGGAAATAAAAAAGCACCTTTGAGATGTCTTGAGACGTATAAGTTCCAGACAAATTAACAACTATAGTTGTTAATGGTCTCCTTTCAAGGCAGATGCATCTCCCCAAATACCTCCCTGAATTTTTAAGGATTTTTTCAGTATATTCGATGTTCCGCCATTGTTGAAGGCATTGGGGAATCTGGTGAGGGAACCTCTCCGAAATGGAGAGCCAAGGGGGACACAGACTCTCCAGCATTAAACCAGAGACTCACAGAAAATGCTTGGCTGGAGTCCAAATCAAGAAAACCCGCCTCCTTTTTTAAAGCCCTGCATTCAGCAAGAAGGCAACTTCCAGGGCTCCTCTGGGATGTTCCCCAGCTCCCTTGACTTTCTCCCAGAGGGCTAATTAAGCTCCCTGCTCCGTGGCTTCTTGGTCTCCTGGTGAGCTCAGGGGTAAATTGATGGAGACTCTGCAAGATGGCTGTATTTTCTGGAAATTATAGGTTGGCACTTCCCCACATTTGTATGTTTTGGGTTAATTATTTTAATATTTTAATATAAGTGTCATAGTTGTTTTAACTTGTGAGCTGCTGAAAATCACATAAGTGAGATCAGCAGCTATATAAATTAAAATAATAAATAAATAAATGTTTTTTTTTTAATCTCTGCTCTTTTTTCCCCTGCCTTTCCACTTCTTTGTCAAGACTCTCAACTTTAAATAGCGTATCAAATGCAGATCAATTCTTCAATTTATCAAGGAAGAGAGGAAATAAAACATCTCTGTACTTTTTGCTTGCAACAGTGGTCATTCTGAGTTACAGCACAGCTCTGTCATTCACACAGCTCAGTCAGATCTAACTTGCCTCCTTCACTTTAAGCGCAGTTTTGAATTGTTCCAAGTTGATTTCTTTATTGTCACCAGCAATATTCTCAAACTTCTTGGCTACCCACATGAGCCATTGTGTGTTGTCATCCAAGTTCATGGTTGTTGGCTCTACAAAGTAGATAACAAAATAACAGAGATAGAAGGGACCTTGGAGATCTTCTAGTCCAACCCCCTGCTCAAGCAGGAGACCCTATCCGATAGATTAACTGACAGTAGCAGCTTTTTGGTTCTGGGCCATTTCATTGAGTGGCCTTTTAAGATCTTTTGTTTGCTCCCTTTTGTGTACTGTAAGACTGTAGATGAAATGTGCATAAGTGGCAGATGAAAGGACCACGTCTGCAAAAGCGGGTTGAGCTTCATTGTTCATTTCCAGGGATATTCAGTCTAGATGGCAGCTGTGGCCACAGAGCTGAGGCCTTACTCCTTTGATTGCAAGACTGCCAACCTTCTTGATATTTTTTACTCCTCCCCCCCAGGACATTCCTGTGATTCTCCAGCTGTTAATATTCTATAAACTAGGGGTTATTCTACAGACACACATACACACAGCTTCCTCAAGAGAAAAACCAAGGATGCAGAGAGTAAGATTACACAGACAATGCCAATATGGTAACGCTGCATCAAACCTAAGGGACAGATCCCATAAGAATGTCAGGACTTTCCAGTTTGGTTTTATGGCTTGTAACAACCGTAACAAATGATTGTAGTATATAATTCATGGGAAGCATCTGTCCAATCCCATGATTCAATTAGCAAATTTTGGAAATGTTAACTATAATAGAGTGGAGAGGGCAAAAGAGTACAGTATTGGGGCTGCAATGACCAAAGAACAATGACCACATCTCTTGATCTTGACACACTATTACTTTTTTTTTTTTTTTTTTGCAACTGCATCACGCTTTTGGCTGGCAGTCAGCTTGGGAATGAGGGGAGAAGCATCAAGACTACAGTGATCACCCTGATGGAACTTCATAAAGGACATTCATAAATGTGAATTTAATGAGGTGTGTTATTTCAACAAATAATGGTAATAGTGACTAAAATCTTCGTACTATTTGTTGCCCCAGCTGAGAATCTTATGGATAGAGTTTGCATTTGACACTGCAATTGTCAGGAGATTAGGGGAAACATTTTTTCTTTGTTGTTTATTTCAGCCAATTTGGTTAACATTTTATCTCCTGGTACTTGTTCTGTAATTTACACAGCTAAATGATGCAATTCTCATTTATATATTTTCATTTTTACAGCATTATCTTGAGACTCTGTATTAGATTCTGTCTGCCACATTCCCTCCATGAATTCATCCCTAATGCTAAGGAGATTGTGTGCTGCTCAAATTGATACAACTTCAGAGTCATATTATCCATATTTTCTAGCTCTCAGAAAGGGAGCACAAGAATTCTCCCCCCCCTCCTTTCTGGACAAATTCTCTTGTAGAATAACAAACTCAAAATGAAATTGCTACTGTACAGAGGGTTGCAACAGACATGTGAAAAACAGGCCATTTTCCACTTCAACTTCATTTTATGTCCCAGTGAACTACTGTGCATTTTGGAAAGTCTAACCTAGCCCAGAAGAAGACATCAGGTCCCCTCTTCTCCAGATTAAGGGAGCTGAATACTGTGGGATGATGAGGGGGGACATGATAGCCGTGTTCCAATATCTCAGGGGCTGCCACAAAGAAGAGGAAGTCAAGCTATTTTCCAAAGCGTCTGAAGGCAGGACAAGGAGCAAGGGATGGAAACCGATCAAGGAGAGAAACAACCTAGAACTAAGGAGAAACTTCCTGACAGTTAGAACAATTAACCAGTGGAACAACCTGCCTCCAGAAGCAGTGAATGCGCCAACAATGGAAGTTTTTAAGAAGAAACTGGACAGCCATTTGTCCAAAATGGTATAGGGTTTTCTGCGTGAGCAGGGGGTTGGACCAGATGACCTCCAAGGTCCCTTCCAACTTTATCATCATCATCATCATTATTATTGGGAAGTCATTGCACCACTGAGCTCAAGTTCAGAGCATTCCATGCTGAAAGCTGCAGCAACTTTGAAAATGAGGCATTTTGTGCAGTGAAAAATATTATAAAGATTATCATTTTGCACATGCAAAATCAGTTGCCACATCTATCTTGGTTGAAAGGCCACAGTTATCAAAGAAAGATATTGATTTTTTTTTTAAAAAAATCATTTAAGCATTTTGATCATTTAGATCATGTGAAAAACTTGTCTAATAAAGTCAAGCAATAACATAATCTCTCGCAAAATTAATATGCCCCATTTTCCTTCTCATGGAAAATGCCCAAATAGGTGGTTTTGAACTTTGCTCAAATCACTGAATTGGGAAAATTAATTAAATCTTCCTATTCAGGGGCTGCATGCAGTTCTCTCACCCATCTCAGCTGAATCCATGAGACTCAAACTACATTTGTTCTGAAGAAAAAGACTTAAAATAAATGAGTCTGGATAATTCAGACACAAAATTAAAAATGCATTGCAAAAGATAGGAATGGGTTACCTGAAATTTCTGTGTCAGAGGCTTCTTTGTCTAGCTCCTTAAAACCTTCCCAAAATAATTTATAGAACTTCTTTTTGACACACATAAGAAAGATGTAATGTTCTACACTGAAGTAAATATCCCTGTGTAGCATTCAATATCTATTCTGCCAGTAGCCAGCCAAACTGCCTCACTCAAGAGAAGCCTGCTTAAATTTATGCCACTCCTGCAACAGGTGCTGATGACTAGCTAAACTCAGGGGAGGCCAAAATGTAATTACTTCAGATAATCAAAGTGTTTGTTGTTCAATCGATTTCTTCTTCACTAATTCACTGAACTGAGTAATACAGCAAAATGACCAAAATAATTTGTGTTCTACATGAACATAAATCTTTTAAACATTTCCAATAACCTTTCCATAGATTCTTTTCCACTTGGTTCTTTTATGACTCATGGACTTCAACTCCCAGAATTCCTGAGCCAGCCATGCTGAGGGGAAAGGGAGAGGTTTCCAAGCTGAGCCACGTTGGCTCAGGAATTCTGGGAATTGAAGTCCACGAGTTATAAAAGAGCCAAGGTTGCCTACCCCTGCCCTAGGATCACATTATTCATCTTGAATTTTAGTGTCTTAAAATTTGCATTTCACACTTTATTTCTATTTGTTTAGGCTTCCAAAAACTTTTAACACATATCCAATGTACATTTTTTTTTCTCCTATCAGGTATGGATTAAAGATGCTATCAGCAACATGGCTGCCCACAAATAGTCTTCTGGGTTCCTTTCCTGAGAACAAACAACAATGAATAACCATCAATCCCAGAAGCATCTACCAACTGTAGAACTGTAAATAATTGTTCAGTTAATCCAATGACAAGAACAGGATTTTCTGGAATGATCTTTAACATACAACTGTTAAATTAATTCTTTGTTTCTCAATCTTTAACAGATACCAATCCAATGAAAAATGAAAACAAAAATATTTAAAAATAAACATTTAATTTCAGGCATGAAAAGGGCTACAGATGTATTTTAATTGCTGTTACAATTAAGAAAACAGACCTCTTGATTGTTCATACAAACCTACAATACCAAGGATTAAAGTGTAACTTAAGAGGCTCTTTTTTCCTTCATGGCTTGTCTTACAAGCTCCATGTCTTTCTGTAACAACTGCTTCAAAATCTGTTTACTTTGCTTTTTAGGATTTTCACAAAAAACACTCTTTATGGCATCAAGGACTTCCATTGATCTTTCAACAATATCTTGAGCCATCTTTTTATGTGGTGAATTTTCTATATATTCAGTTAATTCAGGACTAAAGCCATATAATAAATTAATAAATGCTTTTAATTTCCCCATTTCTTTTTCCGTGTCTTCTGCTTTCTTTTCCAGAGACTCAGATGCAGGCAAAATGATGTCCACTTCTGTTACAGATGGAGCTGTTGATGGGGAAGGGGATCTGTCTATCCCCACCTGTGTGGCAGGTGGAACTGTTGATGGGGAAGGCGTGATCTCTACATCCAGCTTTATTTCTGCCTCAGATGCTTCTGATGAGAGGGAGGAAGGCACTTCTATGTCCAACTTCATTTCCGTTATAGGTGGAGCTGTTGATGGGGGATTAAGAAGCTCAATGTCAAGTTTCATCTGCTGTTCCTTCTTCTGCAACAGTTTCCTCTCTGCCTCCCCTGCTAATTCCAGAGCATTTTTTAAGTAACCCTCTGCTTCCTCAACATACTCACGGAGAGCTGGATCTTCTTTAACAGAGGATGGTGCATTCTTAATGGATTTAATTAGTGTATCAATTGCTTCTAAGATGTCTAAACCTCTAGGCTTATGATGAGCCAACTTCACTGGATGGCTTTTCTGCTGTGGTTCATTATTGTCTAGCGTCATATGTAATTTTTGTACATTCTTTAGAGATTCCACTAGACTAGCCAAGGCTCCATTTGTTAACTGATCAAAACTCTTACCTTCTCCCTTAGTAGTTGCTTCTTTTTCCACCTGGATTGAAATGGTGCCCAATGTGTTTCCTGGACTTGCCTCTTCAGAAATCAGGACAACAGACTCACTGGTCTCACTTGGGAGATTTTCTGAGGGATTTGTGTTGGAATGCAGGATAACAGATGCTGTTGGGTCATTTCTGAGTTTCCAAAAGGCTGTTGTAGTTGGAGCATCCTTTTTCATCAAGGCAATTGTTCTGGGCTTCTCACTACTCTGGGGGCTCACATTCACCCAAACAGTGTCCACTGCTACAGATGGAGAAGTTACTATGTCAGGTGCCAAAAGAGTTGGGGGTTTTTCAGTTGACAATACAAGTTCTGTGGGGATGTTTTTTACTACATCTTGCAAAAGATTCACAAGATCATTCAAAGTTTGCTCTTCCTTTTTTGCTGCAATTTCACCTGTGTTGGAAGGTACTGTAAAACAGTAAATAAAGCCATTAATTGTATACCTTGTTTACTTGTCTTCTGTAAAAGAAACAGCTTTTATGAACATATCTGTACTGCTATATATCACAATTTGACACTGGATGACTTTGTTTTATGGCCCAACTATATACTATTTTATTTCTTCATCAACTTGTAAACTTTCTCAAAGTAACTCTGAATGCCTATTAGCTCATTAATAACCGTCCCTGGTTTAAATTCAGATGAAATTATTTGAATTCTGTTATGTTTTTATGGTTTAGTTATATATTCTGCTACCCGAAGGGCCCCCGTACTGTCAAAAAATAAAAAACATTCTCCATGCAGTCCGCTGGAGTTAATCAATTTCAAATCCTCCCCTTGGAAGAAAGTATGGAGAAGGACAATGACAGGAAAAAAATAGACTAGACTTCCGCAAGAAAAAAAAGGTGTCTGTTGACAATAGGAGACTCACTATTTAGGGGAATTAAATCATCAATTTTGTAGACCAGACAATCTAGCTAGGGAAGTATGCTGTCTCCCAGGAGCAAAGATCAAAGATGTAATTGAGAGGTTTACTAAAATAATTGTCCACAGATTATTATCCATTTGTTCTCTTTCATGTGAGAATGAATGGTACAACAAAGAGCCTGAAAACAATATCAAGAGACTATGAACAGCTAGGTATGAAAGCCAAAGAGATGGGAACACAGGTGGTGTTTTCATCTGTGCTCCCAACAAAAGGTAAACATCCAATGAGAGAACAGAGAATTTTTAAAGTAAACTGCCTTAAAGGATGGTGCCATCGAGAGAACTTTGGAGTCCTAGACCAGGGCTTTTCAACCGGTGGTACATGTACCATCAGTGATACTTTAGTACCTGGCAGGTGATACGCGACCCCTAGCCAAGTGTAGCAGGGGAGAGAATCAGCTAAAGCAGCGCCACACAGACCTGGAGGAGATCAGCTGGAGCTGCAGAGCTTGGCAGAAGCCCCAGGATAGGCACACGTAGCGACATAGTAATTGGAGCTTCTGGCACACCCAGAAGAGAAAAGGAGGAGGAGAACAGAGAGAAGGTACAAAAGGGGCAGGTTTTGGCAGGAGAAGGAGACAAAGAGCGAGAAGCAAAGCAGTGAGGAGAGACAGAGCAAGTGGCATCTTGGGGGGAAGGGCGAGCAAGCAAGCGGCATGTTTTCGGGGGAAGGGTGAACAAGTGAGCAGCGTATTTTCAGAAGGGTGAGTGAGCAAGTGGCATGTTTTCGGGGGAAGGATGAGTGAGTGAGCTGGGCAGGAGCCCCAGAATCAGCGTGTGCTTTTGCAGGGCTATGAGGACTCGGCAGAAGCCCCAGGATCAGCGTGCACAGCTACAGCTGATCGGCGCTTCTGTTGAGCCTCAAAGAAGCGCCAATCAGCTTGAGCCCAGTGCTGATCCTGGCTTGTGCAAAGGCTGGAAGGAACTCAAAAAGCTAGTGCAATGACCACAGGCCAATTAAGACAACAGAAAGCTGTTCTGAGAAGACTTTAAAATGATGGTGCATCATGTCACTTTGAACACATAATGGGAGGGAAAAAATTCTTACACTGGATTTCAATAGAGTCTTTTCCTTCTGATACAATCTCTTCAACTGCAGTTGGCTGCACAGATATCTGTTGAAGAGGGAAAAATGAATCATTTCACTATGGCAATTAGCTTTTTAACTTTTGTTGCATGCTTAAATTGTTTAAAAAAAAACCCGCCAGGAGAATATATTTAATCCTGAAGCTAAGAGTCCAAAAGTTTCTGAACACTTACCTCACAAACTGAATCTCTAGCAACTTGAAGGTGTAAAAACAATCAGATTGATAGATTCTCAAACATGCTTTTCCTGCACAGGCCCATCTGTAATTGGGAGGAAGGAGCTTCCGTTTCAGGCCCAGTGGCCCCCAAACTGGTAAGGATCTCCACCCTTATCAATAAAATTATTTTAAGCATGCACCCCTAATACATGCTACCAATTAATCATATAAACGTAGTACTGTATTGACATATTAGGTATATTACAACCCTAAAATAGAAATTAAAGATGAGTTTTAAAGGATTAGATAAATCTAAGTCAATATTCTAATATTTCCTTCCAACATGACCATGGATCGTCTTGTGCCTCTCCCGGGGTTCAGGCAGCCCACTCTGGGAAGTGCAGCTCTAGCTTCATCTGAAAGAGAGACCGTCGCAAGGCCGAAACTCTCGCTTCGCCCCCAGGCAGCCCCATGGGGTTAGAGTAGTTTCAAGGGGAGGATTACAGGTAGGCCTTGATTTATAACCATTCGTTTAATGACCATTCACATTTACAACAGCACTGAAAAAAAACTGACCGATGATCAGTTCTCACACTTATAACTTCGGGTGCTTGGCAGTTGGCCTGTGTTTACAACAGCTGCAGGGTTCTTCTAAATTACAAATTGGAGTTACTGGGTCAATTTCCAATTCCTGAAAATTACAGAACGTTTTGGAGCCAGATTATGATTTGTGATTTGACAAGGGGTTTCCAAGACCAGCTCCAATTTCTTCCAATACTGGTACAAAGGAATCCATTTCCCACAGGTGAAATGGTTATAATACACATGCTCAAAGTTGATCCGGATGGACCTCTATCAATAGCAATAGCACTTAGACTTATTCACAACCCTCTCTAAGCAGTTTACAGAGTCAGCGTATTCCCCAAACAATCTGGGTCCTCATTTTACCAACTTCAGAAGGATAGAAGGCTGAGTCAACCTCGAGTTGGTCAAAATCAAACTCCTGGCAATGGGCAGAGCCAGCCAGCAATGCTGCATTCTAACCACTAGGGCACCAGGGCTCATTTTCCTGTCCACACTGGGATGATGCACCTTTTTTTTGGATCAGGATTCCTCAATTCATCCAACCTCTATCTTGTCTGGATTAAGCTGGAGGAGATTTGACTCTTTAATTATTCTATTTATTTATTTATGAGACTTATATACCGCTTTAAGTGCAAGCACTCACTAAGCGGTGTACACCAGTAAGCAATGTATATATATATATATTTACATTGCCCCCAACAATCTGGGTCCTCATTTTACCTACCCCGGAAGGATGGAAGGCTGAGTCAACCTTGAGCCGGTGAGATTTTTGAACCGCTGACCTGCTGAACACAGTCAGCTAAAGTGGCCTGCAGTACTGCATTCTAACTGCTGCGCCACCTCGGCTCTTGGTATTCTAGATACCAGTTCAGAACTTTTGCTATTTCTCAGAGATACACAGCATGAAGTTCAAATGCCCAGGTGAGCTAATCCAATCACCTCTATTATAAAGTACAATGAATCCAAATGAACCACATGGTACCTCTTAACTGGAAATTTGTCAGTCACTACTTTGAGAAACAATGTCCCAAATTCATCCCTTCAAGGTGGCCTAGAAGAATGGTATGGCTGAAAGCTTCAAAAACAGCTGAGTGGCCAGGACAAGCAAAAGATCTGCCTTCTGGCTCATTTCTTGAGACAACTCATGAATTTTCAGCAACATCTTTAGGTCTCCTACAGCAGAATGGATTTCGGGAATTGGTTTCACCGGAAAGCCTGACATATTCCCCATCACATAATCTAGACTTACACACACACATTCTCCCATAATGTTATTAGAGTAGAATCATTTTAGCCCTAACATTGCTTGTTTAGTTTTATCTATTGCGTGAATCTAGGTGTTGTGATTTCTAAGTTATAATTTAAGACTTACTATCAATAAGCTTAGTACAATGGGCGAAGGCTGCCTATATGGGGAATGCATGCTTGGTTGCATGTGAAAAAGAATATTCATATTTTCTATCTGGATCAGAAGTGATTTAAGAAATTTACGATATCAGAAATACAAACTATTTCCTGTATCTTGAAACCATCATTACCTCCACTACTTTAACATTTTCATAACGGTGTGTCACACCTAAAAAAAACCAGAAAAAGTAAAAAAAACAACAAAAAGTTAGTCACACAGTACAGCAATTATTTTCAGCTCATTTTATATAACAAGTTATTTTCTTCAGTTTTTTTATTTAAAAATCATGAATAATGTTTTGTATCTATTGCCACCATCCCTTGGAAATAACTTGAGCAAATCCATATGTAAGGTTAGGGAAACCTTCTAATATAATTTCACTGAGTTACAATCTTGGCCACGCAATGATAGCCATGTTAGGGGAATGGCTAAGCTGCTCTTTCAAAACAAACTCAGCCAATAAAAACTGATCTCAAAAAGCTAACCAGGGTTGAAACTGGTCTGCATTTAGATGAGAATCAAACCACTTCACTCCTAATGCAAGAAAGTGAACCAGATGGAAATAGTTCCTTCCCAGCAGTCAGGTAATATTAAATACTATATATGGTCATATTTGGGTCATGAATGTATATGGATTTCTGTACACACAAATGCTGCTGCCTGAGAATCTGAATGAGCTGTGGCAAAGAACAAGATGTAACAGAAACATAGTGGTAATATGTGGTGTTTTATAAGGAATAGTTTGTCTCCTGTCTTCCTTATTTTTAAAAATAACTCAAGGTGGTGAATATATCCAAAACACACCATGCATTCAGTTTTGATCAACATGATAGAAAAAGGATATTGAGTCTCTGGAAACAAAGATGATTAAGGGTCTGGAGGCTAAAACATATGAAGAACGGTTGCAGGAACTGGGTATGTCTAGTCTTCTGAAAAGAAGGACTAGTGGAGACATGACAGCAAAGTTCCAATATTTGAGGGGTTACCACAAACAAGAGGAGGTCAACCTGTTTTCCAAAGCACCTGAGGGGAGGACAAGAACTAGTGGAAGTTAATCAAAGAGAGATCCAACCTAGAATTAAAGAGAATTTTCCTGTCAGTGAGAACAATTAATTAGTGGAATGGCTTCCCTCGAGGTTTGGACTAGAACAGAGGTCCCCAACCTTTGGGGCACCCTTACGTGGAGAGAGCGGACTGGAGGGGGCACAGTTTTGTGTGCTGCCTGCATCTCACAGATGGTGCTTTGCTTGTTTGTGTGGACCGGTTGCTGGTCCAGGGACCAGGGGTTGGGGAACCCTGGACTAGAAGACCTCCCTATTCTATTCTATTTCTATTCTACCCTAATTCTAATTCTATTCCATTCTTCTATTCTTATTCTTCTCTCTACTCTCTAGTCTCACAACAGCAATCTTGTGAGGTGGAATGGGTATAAGCAAAAATGGATGGTAGAAACCACTTGGTTGCAGAAAAATGGGAGTTGAGTACATTAGGAGAAAAATTAAAGTAACTGGTGCTATTTGAAATTGGGTTCTTAAAAGTTTTGAGTTTGTGGCCCAAGAAGAAACCCAGAGTCAAGAATGAGTGAATACAGACTGAAAACAAAACAAAAATAAGTTAATTGTACACTTCACATACTGACGTGGCCTGGCCCCAGAAAAAGAACGATGGAGGATCTAAGTGATGAACAAATAGAGAAAGGAGGAACGAAGGAAGGCAGGCAGGCTGCAACTGCAAACATCTCGCCAGCCGTTAAATGGCCGCAACCCCCCCCCCCGCCGCCTGGATCGGGCTTTCTGCAGCCCAGAGCGGTTTCTGTTCCGCACGGGCTGCCACCCCGGACGAGACCGGGGAAGCTGCGCTGGGACGGAGCTGAGGAGACCGCGAGAGACCGGCAACTCAGCCACGACCAGGCGAGGCCCGAGGGGGCCTTGAGAAGGCAGGAACGGTCCGTGGCCTCTTTCCTTGCCTTCTCCGGCCGGCCTCTCCCGTTACCGGCTACCGATCAGCCCGAGGGCGCCAGGAGGTGCCGCTCTCCGCCCTCCCGCCGGGCCTGGGCGCTCGGGGCCTGTCCGCGGCGTCGCTAGGAAAACGCCCGGAAGCCCCGGCCCCTCCGCGGCGCAGGCCGCTTCCCCCCCGTCCCGCCACTCACTCGGATACGGGGTCGCCCGCGGGAGGAAGCTCAGCAACGCCCCCGGGAGGAGCAGCAGCAGCCCCGCCACCGGGAAGCCGCCGCTCGGCCGCCCCCCTCGCCCCGCCGCCATCCCCCGCCTCTCCTGGGGCGGCAGGGCCGAGTGCACAACCGCCGCCTCCGCCGCCCCCGCCTCGGAATCCGCGCCACGCCCGGCCCGCCCCCCTCCGCCGGCCCGGCCGCTTTAGCTGCCCGGAGAAGCGCTTGCTGGGGCCGCGGAACCCGGCGAAGAGGCCGTCTCTCTCGATGCACCGCGGCTTTCTTAAGCACCCGCCTCCCTCCGAGAATTTTCTTGGGATCCCCGGGGCTGCGGAGGGCTTCCCCCCCCCGGCCCATCCGAGCCACCCCCTTTCGGGCGCCGCTCCCTCCCCGCCCCGGAGGCAGCAGGACCCGGTGCTCCTTCGGGGGGCCACCCTTGTCCCGTTGAGGTTAGGAAGGGCAGGCCAGAGGAAGGCCGCGATGCTGAACCCAAGCCAGGCCGGAAGAGCCGTTTGCTTCCTTCCAGGTGACCGGAGGGTTAGCTTCACATCCTGGTGTCTTCCGGTGTCTTTCACTCCATAATCAGAATATCACCCATGTTCAAACCGCTTTCCAATTAGTCTTGCAACCCACTGTGCTTTTACACAACCAGTTTATTGGTTGTGTAAAATGACTAGGCTGTGAAAGTGTACACTTCAATTTGATCATACAATTTCCCCCCATGATTATTTTGCACTTTTGAATGACACAATAAACTTTAATCTAACCACCTTGATAAAGGGGTATGCACTGGATGGGGTTGACAAAAGACTCAAGACTAAGATTAAATCAGCTCATGCAGGTTGTGTAGCACAGCTCCCCACCTGCTCCCAGTCACAGAACTCAAAAAGGTTTAGTGCCAGGAACATTTGGGGAACCCAAAGCTCACCTGTATTATTCAGACAGGATTTGCCACATAGCTTGTAGCAGATTGGTTCATACAAAATGCTACTCTCGTGTTAAATTGTAATCTACACCTTAATAGCTTGGTTCATACCAAGCCACTGCAACTATTGATACCTACTTTTAAGAAAAAATGCTCAAGGTTTGCCAATTGATTTTTTTATTGTAATTAAGAAATTAATATCACAATACAAATCTTAATGAAGACATAATTTCTCAGACAGTTTTTTAGACACAGTAAAGCACAGTACAAAATGTACTAACATAGAGGCCTGCACCTTAAAAAGGCTGTCACAAGTTGGTTTAACCAGATTCTCTGGCCACCAAAGAGAATATGCATCACACCCAAATGCCAAAAATAACAACAGCACTGCTCAGCAGTATAGTTTAATGGCTAGTTTCACTTGTAAATCATCATTTGTTTCCATTATAATAAAGCAAGCCACAGTAGCCTGATTCACATAATATAAATCATAATTTCAAAATCAGAAAGGCTCGTTAGATTATCCTATAAGTATATATACAAGACATGCTGAGTTACCTTTAATATTAATCATGAGACTAACCTATAGCAAGAGCACTTAGACCAGAATTCCCCAATGTTTCCGGCTTTGTGGACCAGTAGGGGTGGGAGGAGAGGGGATAGTACAGTCAGCAAATGCATGCGCAGCTCCATTTGCAGGGTGCATGCATGCCATGCGCTCACCCGCTGCTCGCACAAGTGAGAATGAGCAGAGCTGCAAACCTCTCAGGGCCTAGGACTGGGGCAAAGGTGCGTGTGCCCACAGAGAGGGCTCTGCATGCCACCTGTGGCATGCGTGCTATAAGTTCGCCACCACGGGCCTAGAAGGACCCATTTGGACTGTAGAGATAAAGAATGTAGACTTTTTGTCATTTTCTTATCTAATCACTGGGCATGGTTAGCAATTCTTTCAGTAGCAGTAGAGACAGGCAACTTTTCATGTAGCACACCAAGAACAATTTCTGGAACTGGTGAAATGCTCAGGGGCTGTCACAGAAAAGAGAGGGTCAAGCTATTCTCCAAAGCACCAGAGGGCAGGACAAGAAGCAATGGATGGAAACTGGTCAAGGAGAGAAGAAACCTAGAACTAAGGAGAAATTTCCTGACAGTGAGAACAATTAACCAATGGAACCACCTGCCTCCAGAAGTTGTGGGTGTTCCATCACTGG